GGAGGGGTACTCCCGAAACAGCCGTTGTGCTTTCGGGAGCTCACGGCGGCCCTGAGGGAGGGCTCACCGGCCAGGCCCTGCGTGGAAGCGAGCGGGCGGAGCCGCTCGGTCTCTCTGAAGCGCTCTCCTTCAGGATGGGCTTGGAGACCCGAACAAACCTCGCTGTTCTCTTGCAGATAACTTGCGATGTCTGGGTTTGACAGCTTCAACACAGACTTCTTCCAGACGAGTTACAGTATTGATGACCAGACACAGTCCTATGATTACAGTGGAAGACCGTACAGCAAGTAACTTGTGCATGCCTTTTGGACTTGTGTAACGTGTGTCTTGTGTAAAGCCGTTCAGTCACGCTTCTTTAGCAACCAAGCCTGAGTTAAGATACTTCTGGGATAGTCTGTTTTTTCAGGAAAGGATTGGCATTTCAGCCAACTGTTGTTGACTATAATTGAATTCCTGTTGCTCTGTTTTATGAAAAGCATAACTTACATCCTATAAGTGGAGATATAAAGCAGTTGTATGTTGAATACTCCGCCTTCTACATTTTAAAGCAAAGATTAGAAAATTGAAAGAAAGGTTATATGAATAATCTTAATTATATGAATAATTTTCACGTCTTTGGGAAAAGAAATACCATGTTCTGTAAGTCCGTCTCCAATCATTCAGGGAGTAAAAATTAGCTACAGTGTCATGTAAATGAGCCTGCAATGTCAGTGGTGATTCCTAGGCTGTAGTAGGAAAGTGTGGTGGACGTTTCTAGGTCAGGGGAGCTCGTAGGAGTCCTTTGTGAGTATCCAATCTCAGGCTGAGGGTTTAGGTCGGTTACGTGACCTGTGTGATCCCTGCGATAGATGGAGCAGGTCAATGCCTGTTTGCGTCCTGAAAAGGATTATAGTGCTGTGATGAGGCTGAACTCTATTAACACAAAGAAAGAAAGGAGAATGAGTTCTGGGTTTTCCTTCTTTATATTCATATTTCCATAGTTAAATACTTTGGACACATTTACTGTAGTCAGACTTGGAAATGGTTAGTGGCAAGAATAATTTAGCAGTTTGTTTAGGAACAGAAGATAGCTTTGATTAGGCTTTTTTTTAAAGGTAGCATTGTATATTTTTATACGTATGAAATCTATAATAGAAAGTATTCCAAAGACAGTATAAATTGATTTCTTAGTAAATAATTGAGAATATGTGAAATAGAAACTGAAAATTGCCCTTTTTTTTTTCTGTGCATCCTTTTTTTTGTAGGTAGATGTCATAATGTGTTTGATGTCCATATCATAATTCCTCCTTATATGTCATCATGCTACCTGATACACATGGTGCCAAAGTGAAGGAGAAAACAGCTTTTTTTTTTTTTTAACTAAGCTCATTTTTTAAATATAGAGGGCAACAAAAGTGATAGTACGAGCAACATGGTTCTCTAATAGTGAGTTTGCAAATAAACATTCTAAATAGCAAATTAATGCTGACATCAAATGAGATGTCAGTAGCAATCAATGGACAATATTTGAATACATTTGAGATGTAAAATCTTCCTACTCTTTTACAGGTCTACAGCCTGTAGTAGTAATTCAGTCAGTGGATAACACTCATTTCTCCAGGCCTCTGACTTAAAACCAAAAAGCAATACTAGCATATATAGCAAAAATTATCTTGTTTAGCTTAACAGTATTGTCTATAAGGGTTTGAATTGATAGACATGGCTATATGCCTGAAAGGCCTGGATCTGAGTAGGGGATCATTTAATGTGACTTTTTAAAAAAGAAGAAAGGATTGTTTGCTGCAACTTATTTACTGAAAATAAACTTTGCTTTTGCTGGGAGGTGTTTAAAATAAAAGTCTGTATCTGTCCATAATGCAATGTGATTCTTTGTAGGCAGTATGGAGGCTATGAATACTCTCAGCAAAGTGGGTTTGTCCCTCCAGACATGATGCAGCAGCAGCAGCCGTACACAGGGCAGATTTACCAGCCGACACAGGCATACGCTCCAACTTCAGCACAGTCTTTCTATGGAAGTAATTTTGAGGATGAGCCTCCTCTATTAGAAGGTATAACTTACGCTTTATGGCCAAAATCCAAAACTCTTCCCAGTTCGGGGATAAGTTGAGTAGCAGGGTGTGTATTCTCTACTTCTGAAAGTGCACAGTTGATTTGAAAATCTCTCTTTTTTTTTTTTTTTTATTTAACTGTATTTTGGCATATGAAATGTATGTTCTTGTGTGAACTTCTGCAGTTTTAGCATTGTGCTTTATTACTTCATACCAGCTGTCCTGTGGAAGACATAATCAATTAAATGGATAACCTGACTTCATACAGCTCTTATGACAAAATACTTACTAGTTCTGTTGTTGCAAATAATAATTATAATTGCCCACTTTTTGTAAAATAAATCGATGCAGTTAGTTTCAGTTGATTCTTTGGTTAGAACTGAAATCTTTCATTGCTAAAAAGGAATGCTAAACACTGCAGAAATTCCTGTTTAGAATACAGCCTGTGCAGAATGCCAGAATAGATACGTAGTTAGTGTCAGGATTGACAGTTTCAATTTCCACCTTATATCTGTCATTGTTCGGCACCAAACAACTGAAGAAACCCTTATCGTTACTGGTTAGAGAGATGGGTATTCATATACCTTCTACCCTGCTGTGCTTTTTTTGTATTCTTCAAAAAATCATTTTGTTTACATAGATGCTTCCCAGGGCCCAAGGTGGGCAAATAGTAACTGCATTCATAACTAGGTTTTGACGCACAACTGTGGTCAAACTGTATGGATGGAGACTTGAAATCATATCTAGATGGAGGGAGCTGTGAATCTCCTTGTCATGAGACACTGAGTGTTAAAAGGGGTGGGTGGTTTTTTTAGTGGGCTCAGTGGCTGGTTTATGAAAGAGAAATCCGCTGAGGGTAATTAAGTACAGAGAAACTACTTTGAATTAGAAACCCTTGAGCCAGCAGTCACTGGAGACTTGGGGAATTGGCATGTTCTGTGCTTATACACTTTCGTAGATACCTGCTTTTGGCCACTTACAGGGACAGGGTACTGGGTTAAATGAACTTTTGGACTGGCCCAGAACACTGTGCTTAGGCTCTTGCCTGGTCCTTTAGAAACCACCTTGTCACTTCTGAGCATTTGAGACCTGGAATCTGTGGAGGCAGCACACTCAACAGCTTTAGGAAAAATGGAATGACTCAGTTCTCCAGTCCCCATAGGATGGTATCTGGAAGGGATTTAAAAGTAGAGAGGCAGGGAAAACTAAGAGTGAAGCAAATAGTGGTGACAGGAAGGGAAAAAATGAAATAAATATGCATAATTCTTTTCATGTAATTTGTAGAATTGGGGATCAATTTTGACCACATCTGGCAGAAGACACTAACAGTGCTACACCCATTAAAAGTAGCAGATGGCAGCATCATGAATGAGACTGATTTGGCTGGACCAATGGTCTTCTGTCTAGCTTTTGGAGCCACATTATTACTGGTAAGATATTGATTGCAAAATATTACTGTTTGTGCTTTAATATTCTTGGAAACACTGGGAAAAAAGCCAAGTTACCTATAGGTTTATTGGAAGTGACTTCTTGGCATGGAGGCCAAGAATTTGTAGCTATATGGAAGAGGAGCTGGGGCTTCACACACTGCTGATTGAAATTAATGAGTTCACTATCACTTTACTTCAGTGGAGTTTGAATCCAAGTCTTTGTGCTTGGTTTTTGCATGGCAATTATTTCAATGTAATTCATACTACTATTCATACTCTGCTTTTGAGGAAGATGGCTCACTTTTGTCACAGGACTGGGTGTGACCCATGTTCCCAGATTTTTACCTGTTTGGGATTTCTTTTTTTTTCCTAGATTGAGATGTTTTACTTTCAGAATCATATCTTGTCTTTTTGCCGTATATCTGTTATCTTCTGTCTTATCAGGAATCAGAACAATGAACACATTAAGTATTTGAATACTTACTTCATTTCTTCACTTAGGAATTTCTTTTATTTTTTAACTCTTACTGTGTTTAATATTTGAGTCTATTTCTCTGTTCTGTTTCATTGTATTTCTTTGCTCCATACTCTTTATTCGTTGTTCTTTGCTGATATTCAAGAGGTAAGGAAACTCAAAATTCATGTGTAAAAAGTGATTTCGTAAGTACTGATACATTAGGCGTGGCTTTCAGTATAAAGAGTCAGTCTGGTAAAACACTTCCAAAGTAAACCTGCTTTCAAGTTGTTTATACTTCTTAATAGGTCAGCAGCTTTTTGAAGCCTGGTGGTTTTTTCAGTTGAGCTTAATTGAAATAAGATTGTACTTTAATGACTCAAAAGTGTCAAATACGAAATGACAGATTAGCAGCAAACAGTATTACTTGACATTGAAAGCTTCAATATTTTTAATCAGTTTTTTTCTCTAAATGTCTTCCGGCACTGCATTTAATTTTTGCCTAAAATTTCACATTGCTATGACACTTAGAACACAGTGTTTTGGTACCAAGGGGACTTTAAGCCTACTTTTATAAGTAACCTTTGTTTATGGAAACTAGGCCAGTAGAATTAATGAACATGTTTATAATAGATACATTTGAACCTTCTTTTCCTAAGAAATTATTACTTTCTCCTGTGTGCTTTTTTTTTTTAATACATTGAGTGTAGTGAAAGAAAACAAGCTTAGCCTAGCGAAAAGGTTAAAGCAGATATGATGGTTTTTCTATAGTGCTTGAGGAAGAAGAGAGCTGGATTATAAATAAACTTAGTTTGGAAGTTAGTAGTGAGAGACAGACCTCGAAGCTACACACCATAGTAGCTTCAGTAACTGCATGGTCCTGTGTTCCTGCAGGGCTCGACACCATGCATTGTGCGCATTTTGATAGACGTTATAAGGGAAGTATCGATCTCATTGTTGGAAAAACAGACAATGACACAGGATACATACATTTTTTAGATAATGCACATATGCTTTCTGCATACTTGTTAGTAAGCAAAGTTCTGATTTTGACTTTTTAAAATCTACATGAGTTAATTCTGCTGTTCATACACAGTGCTTTACAGCTCAGCTTCAACTGTTTCTGGGAATTTTTTGTAATTTACGTTGTGCTATAACTTTATGGAGTCTGTCAGAAATTAAAGGACTTTAGCTCTGGATTTGTCAAGAAGTTCCCGAATTACAATTTTTTGCTCTTTATACACTAGTTCTGTAAAGATTATTATTGCGAATGATCAATCGGCATGAGAAGTTAGTTGATTAAACCCTAAAGAATTCATAGGCTTTTGCAGCCCAGATCAAAGAATAACAATTTGATCAAAATCTGTCCATCAAGATACGTAAAGTTAGGATAAATGTGCCTCTTGGGTGCCTAGAATATAGAGGTGTCCTGGAATTCAGGTTGAATTTGAATAAAGGAATTGGGGATGGGGGACAATGGGGAAAATGAAGATACTCTGTAAACATTCTTTCCTTTTCCCTTCGTTTGTGGGAGGCATTATTTGTTCTGGTAACTAACATGCATTACTCTGCTTGACTTTCAGGCTGGCAAAATTCAGTTTGGTTACGTGTATGGAATAAGTGCAATCGGATGTTTAGGGATGTTTTGTCTCCTGAACTTAATGAGCATGACGGGTGTCTCATTTGGCTGTGTTGCCAGTGTCCTTGGATACTGTCTTCTTCCTATGATCCTACTTTCCACTTTTGCAATTGTATTTTCGTTGCAGTAAGTACATAAATTTTATAATTTGGTAATAGATTACTCTCCTATGAGATGGTGAAGGAAGTTTTTTCAAAAGGAATTATCATACTGAGTGATGAAGCTGCGTATAATTTGAATATGACAGGAATTTGTAGTAAGTGTAAAAACATTAATATTGACAGTCTTCAGGTATTTACTGGATGAAAGATAGGTGAATGCTGGTTTTATCTATAAGTCAATTAACAGCTTTTAAATACATAGACTCAAATAACAATATCAACTTTGTTTTCAGTCAGCTTTGAATCTGACAAATCTCTGTACCTGTAAACTCTAAAAGTAATTACAATTTAAGATGCAAATTTGAATTTGACAAACAGAAGAAAATCAGTGTGATTCCTCAGCTGTATGAAATTAGGGACGGAAGAGAAAACTTGCTACAGTTACTTTACTCACAGCTTTTACGTTTCATATGCACAAAGTTAATTGTGGGGTTTTTTTTATGTTGTCATAATTGAATAGTGTTGTTCTGAAGTCTTTACTGGAACTATTTCATTTAACATCAAATATAAAAGCTAAAATTCATCTTAGAATCTGTAAAAGGTGTTAGAACGAGTCCAGTTACGACTCCTATAAGCATATATATAGAAGTCTTGTATGAATTCTCTTTTTATTTCTGTCTTTACAGGGGAATGATGGGGATTATTCTCACAGCTGGAATCATTGGCTGGTGCAGCTTTTCTGCTTCCAAAATCTTTATTTCTGCCTTAGCAATGGAAGGACAACAACTTCTAGTAGCATACCCCTGTGCTTTATTGTATGGAGTCTTTGCTCTCATTTCTGTGTTTTGAATAGACTGTCCAAACTGTTGGACTCCAGTGGGCCAAAATGAAAACATCACTTGGAACATTTAGTCGGACCAGAAACAGCTGCAAATAACTGTATAGTGTTGCTGTCACGAAACTTAGACCTGTTTTGAATCATCTGGAACAATGAAAACAAATGTCTCGTGTTCACTTTTTTAGGACTTTGGATACTGTTTTCAATTGACCTGAGGGTGTCTATAGCTTTAATAAGTGTTCATGCTTATCAAGTTAATGTAATTTCTTTCCCATTCCTGTATCTTTAGAAAAGTAACTTTTGGTTGTTTATTTGAGGGTTGAGGTTTTTGTTTGTTGGGGTTTTTTTAGGGGAGGGAGGGAGAAGGATTGCAGTTATAAATTGATAGATTTTTATCAGCAAAAGTTAAGAGAACTGCAGATGCTGTAGATTTAGGGTACTTTTTGAATAAATCTGCAGTAATAAAGAACCTATTTCCTGTCCCCTCTTACCAAAAGCAAAATGTACAAATGAACACAAGCGATTAGAGTATTTTGTGTATTTTAACAAATATACTCTTAAGCTCTTTAGTCTCATTTATGTGTTCATTTGATGTGATAGTATTTCAGGATTTAAGATACTTAAATTATGAATTAGAAAACAGATGCTTGAAAGTTAAAGGGATCTGTAATTCTGTCACACTTGAAATATGAATACATTTGGATCTCTAAGTAGCTATATGTTAACTTGGATTTCTGAAGATGACTTCAACTAGAGTTTCTTTTCCTAATGGTGCACATACTAGTAGATGAAGAGTAATCTCCTTTGCAGTACTTCCAAGAAAAAAACACCATTTTGGAAATGTTATGCTTGTCAGTATTGTAGTTACTGTAAAATAATTTAAGGTATATTGATTAAATTTTCCTTAAATTTTGAAAAAGGCATTTGATTTTTCTAATCTTTCTTTTTTAGCGGAGTTCAATTACTAAAATAGAAACTTCAATATTGAAGCAAAATCATATCTAAAACTGTATTCAGTTAGTGGATTTGATACTTGCTTCAGTTACAAATACTTAATCTTACATGAGAGGTATAATCTAGTTTGTGATGTTAGTCACTTACAAGAAGTCTTACAAGCGTAAGAAGTGGGAAACCAAAAATGATTGTTCTTCACATAAGCACTTCCTAATTCTTAAAATAAGCAAGAAAAGGATACCGATGTATTTTAAGTCATACTGGGGAGGGGAGGTTACATACGTAGATAGTAATTCCCCGCCTTGGAAATGAAAAAGCTCTAACAAAGTGCTATTTTATAACTACCATTTCTTCAGCAATTTTATCCAAGGGATTTCATTTCATTGAATTTACCACAGGTGTTAGTCTGATGTTCATCTGTCGTGTCCGTGCAGTGATATATTGATAGACTTCAGGAGCTGAATCACTGGTCAGATGTGTTACGTTAACACCTTCTGGTAAGACTTAATGTGCGAATGCATCTTCAAAGGAAAGCTTTCATCTTACTGATACGTGAAGGAATAATTTCAAAGGCTCAGCACACATTTTTGTTCTCCCTTCCCTTAGTTCTGCACGTTCTCCTAAAAATATCTTCCTAGTGCCACTAGAAGCTACTGACAAGGTCCTCCTTTGTTGGCCAGAGCCAGATTTTGCTTGTGTCACTGGGAGTTGTGGGAAGTGTCGTATGAGTGTAAAGCCTTTAAGAACCAAACACGGATGCACAAAACTGTTCTGACTTGCGTTACGTATTGTAACTGGCTTTTACAATGCATTTTAAAACTCACACACACATAAAAAACTTCAGTTTCCTTTCAGAAGCGAATTCACCAGCCCAGGTAATTTTCTACTTTGGTATGTTTTTACAAATTGTCATCCTAAATAAAAGTGGTGAGTTGATTTCATTTAGCAAAATGTTTTACTCTGTACTTTGTAGTTCTGAGTAGACCACATCTGCCCTGGCGCATAAAGTTCTTACTCCTTTTAATGAAGAACATTACCTGCATGATGTCCTGTATGTGTGCAAATAAATTACAACGATTACCTTTACTAATGAGGCCTAATTAAACATGAAATTGCTCTAGTAAGTACAAAAGCTCACATACTTTCTTGAGCACATCAGGTTCTAATACTCAAATATTGTATTTTTGTGAAGCGGGCTAATTAAGCTTACCTTGCATACACAAATGCGGTTCATTTCTTAAAGCTTGCACTGGTTCTGTGGATGGCTTCCAGGGTGATTACTTATGTGTTAAACTATTTTCTCACCACAGCACGAGCAAACTAAGTGCACAGGAAAAACATTAAAATTAGGTTGTCTTAGTACAGCACTGGCAATACAGCTGCTGAGTTTGGAAAGATGGTATGAAAAGGTATTTATTTAGATAGATATTTTCACAAAGTCCTTGCTCTGGCAGTAGAGGGTACTACTACACGTTCTACTTGAGCAGTGAGGTTTGACCAGTGAGTTTCAGGAGCATTTTGTGTTATTCAGCTCGCATTGTGGAGAATTTAGCAGTGAATTTCTAACTGGACTCTTGGGGGCAGCAGAGAAGCGGACGGGAGTAGAAGGTCAAACGCTTTAATTCATAGAGGACTTTATAAAAACACAATGTTATGTCTAGACTGGTAGTCTTAAATATCCCAAATTTCTGGTATATTAATTAATGTGATTCCATTGACTGTGTTTATTGCCTTTCCAAAATCAATTCCATTGATTTTCTGTAATGTTTTGTCCTACATTACTTCAATTTTAGTTACATTTCAGATGATTTAATCTTGCCATCACATAGAATGACAAGACTGTATGCTGTAATTCTTTACTCCCACATTTGACTTTCATATTTAGTAAGACTTTTTTTCTTTCTAAATCTGAACTCTTCCCCCACAGTCTGTTAACATCAGTATTCTCATTTAGTTTTCAGATTAAATACTAACATTACTTGCTTCCATCCTGCATTGTCTCTTGACATTTTCATGTTACTCAGCTTAAAGCATGCTGTAATTCTTTACTCCCACATTTGACTTTCATATTTAGTAAGACTTTTTTACTTTCTAAATCTGAACTCTTCCCCCACAGTCTGTTAACATCAGTATTCTCATTTAGTTTTCAGATTAAATACTAACATTACTTGCTTCCATCCTGCATTGTCTCTTGACATTTTCATGTTACTCAGCTTAAAGCATTCAAATAGGAATGCTGGTGTTGCTTTTTTAAAACTACTTTTGTTATCACACCCAGTCTTGAAATTACTTCCTATTCTACAAAAGTTAAAAGTTACCTTTCCCAGTTTGTCGATGTTTTGATAGTGACTTTGCTTTTCAGGTCACTTGTTTTGCTATGAGGCAGCTGCTGACTGCAGTTCAGTTTGTTTCTATAGCCAACATTTCTGTAAGTATCAACAAATTACATGGCACATCCTTTTACTAAAAAACATGTTTTTTCTTATGCCTTTCATCCGTGCACTGGTGTTGGCATCTGTTCTTGAGGGGCTATTACTTGTTTAGTGATGGATGAATACCTTTGGAAGCCACAGAGAGCAGGGACTGATTTGGTATTTTGTGTGAAGCCAGATGTTCCTCTATCCTCGCGGCTGGAGAGGAGCATCCTGGATTTGAATGGGGAACACCGATATCGCTGTGCACCATCGCTTGTGCTTTGCACTGCCTTCTCTCCAAAATGATTACCTTATTTCCGTGGACTTGAGTGGTCCAGACTGGGTTACGGTAGAAGCTGTTCGTTTGGGTCTGTAATAAGAAGCTGGAATACCCTTAGGCTTGTCTCCAGGTATCGGCACCAGGATGTTTTCACTGGATAATCTGTGCACGGGGGAACTGGGACTCTCACTCCCCTAGGGACCGACGGTTGCAGTTGGGCACACGCTTCGTGGTGCAAAGGCTGGGCTGGGTCACAGCCCGAGAGCAGTCAGTGGGAGGGAGTCACTCGCTAATGCACTAATGGTGCACTAGTTCGTATCGATACCATTGTTTAAAAGTTTGTTAATGTTTTTTAGGAACCACATTAGCTAAAACAACAGCCAGCTCTTTGGGGTTTAACACATACCACAGAAGCAGAGTTTGCAAAAGAGAAAGCATGTTTTCACTATGGCAGTTGATTTACCTGGACAAGCTTTTAGTCTCTGTGTCCGCACCGAGATGCTTTGGAGTGTCTGCTGTTAATGTTACATGCTGCATCTTAACAAAAAATGAAAGAATGGAGTAACTGGGGCTTGCTGTTTCCTGCTTCTCCTCTGGGTGGGCCTGCAACATATCTGATGTGCTACAACACATCTGATGTACTATGGTATATCTGCTGTACTGCAATGCTTCTGATGTACTGTAAGGCAGGACTCAGGGCTGGCACAGCTCAGCGTCAGGAAGCCTTTCCCCTCCTTCTCCCGTCCTTGCTTGTCTCCTACAACATCAATAGCAATTACATTCCCAGGTAGTCAAACCGCTAATGTTGTCAAGCTGGGTTTCTGTTCCCTGTAATGGGGAGGGGATTCATTTCAGTCATGGCCTGTCAAATTAGCGGAGATGCTGTGTGTGCTGGGTAGCCCTCCTGGCAACGGGAGACCTTTTCTACACCTCATTCTTTGTATAAAGCTGTAATATTTCTGACCAGCTTTTGTTTTTCACATTGCATTGAAGTCTCTTCATTTTCTGTACACATTCCGAAAGCACATAAAATTATTTTTCTCTGGGTAATTCACTGCCTTTCCAACTGTTGGGTGATACAGCCGGGCAAGCTCTTCCCTAGTGTGGATCACATTGTGTTGTAGCACTGTCTCGGTACCTCTTGTCCGTGTAAGTTGACATAGCCTTCCTTTGCTATACTTTTTAAATTTAGTTAAATAGCATTCCTCTCAGAACTAAAAAAATTTATTTACACAATCTATGGGATTAGAAGGGTTTTTAAAATATTTTTTGTTGTTTAGGAGTTGCAAGCCCTAATACATCGAGATGTGAGGACCTCAGGTTATTTATTGTGGTTATCCTTGAGCGTCCTGTGAGATGGGGAAGTTCTGTTCTGTTTTGTAGATGAGGAACGGAGTAAGGAGATGTATGTAATTTGTGTAAGTCCTGCTGCATTTGACCGTCTTTATGCCAGAAAAACGTAACGGGGTATTTCTCCAGGGGGCAATTCTCAGTCCAGCTCTCTGGGACACAGTTTGAAAGTGGGAGGAGGTTTTGTAATTGGAAAGTCTGTCGATTGTGTTTGCCAGCTTTGTGCTTTCCTAATCAAAGCCAGCAGGCTGTTAGCCAAACAGCAGTCCATGCTTTGGGAAGGACTGCAAGCATTGTGCTCTTAAGGGCATTTTTTTTT